ACATTTTTTCCATTTTTTGTTCAGATAGAGTGGGAAGGAGAGAGAGAGAGAGAGAGAGAGAGAGAGAGAGAGAGAGAGAGAGAAACATTGACGTGAAAGGAACACATTGAGTGGCTGCCTCCCGCACGACCCAACCAGGGCGGGGGGACAAACTGCAACCAAGGTATGCGCACTTAGCAGGAACCAAACCTGGGTCTCTCTGGACCACAGGTCAACGCTCTATCTGTTGAGCCAAACTGGCCAGGGCCTCACACTATCATTTAAAACATTTTTTCTTCTTTTTGCTGTTCTGATTGGGTGTTTTTTGTTTTCTTATATTCCAAATCGATGGTTTGATTTTCAGCTTCACCTACGCTACTATTGATTCCCAATAAATTATGCATTATTTCAGTTAGTGCATCCTTCATTTCTTTTTTTTTTTTAATCTTCACCTGAGGATATTTTCCCACTTATCTTCAGATAGACTGGGAGGGAGGGAGGGAGAGACAAAAACATCAATGTGAGAGAGACACACCAATTGGCTGCCTCCTGCGCGACCCTGACCAGGGCTGGGGACAGAACTGCAACTGAAGTACTGGCTCTAGACCAGAATCAAACCCACGACTGGTACATGGACCAATGCTCCAACTGCTGAGCCAAACCAGCCAGGGCTGTATTTTTAACTTTAAAATAAATTGCTGGCCAGGATGGTTTGCTCAGTGGTTAGAGCATCGGCCCACAGATCAAAGGGTCAAGGGTGATTCCTGGTCAAGGGCACATACCTGGGTTTCAGGTTTGATCCCTGGCCCTTGTCAGGGCCATGTGGGACGCAACCAGTCGATGTGTCTCTTTCACATCAATGTTTCTTTCTCTTTCTCCCCATCCCTCTCACTCTATCTAGAAATCAATGGGAAAATATCCTCAGGTGAGGATTAACCAAAAAAAAAAAAAAATTGTCAAATAGGTCTCCAAAGAATCTGTGACATTTTACACTCTCACTTGCACTAAGTTCTAGTTGCTTCATACCCTTTCCACTTCACTGAACTGAGCACTTCAGATCTGTGTATTTTATTGTATGTTAAGGATTTTAAAAATCCAACTTTATTCTTTTAATTATCTTATACATGATTTACTGGAACATTTTACTTCTGAAAAATCACTCTAAAAATGAAATAAATATTAGTGGTTTTAAAATAGAACCCATTTGCCCTGGCCGGTTTGGCTCAGTGGTTAGAGCGTTGGCCTGCGGTCCTGAGAGACCCGGGTTCGGTTCCCGCTAAGGGCACGTGCCTCGGTTGCAGTTTGTCCCCAGCCCTGGTTGGGTCGTGTGGGTGGCAACCACTCGACGTGTCCCTTTCACGTTGATGTTTCTCTCTCTCTCTCTCCCTCCCACACTCTATCTGAACAAAAAATAGAAAAAATGACCTCGGGTGAGGATAAAAATAAATAAATAAATAAAATAAAATAGAACCCATTTTGGTACTTATATATAATCTCTTTGCATATTTAACTTTCATACACGTTAAGGCCATAAGAAATGTTTGCCTTAAAATTTCTCTTTTAGACATCTAACATTGCTGATGGGAGGATAAACTGTGACACGCTCTGTGAGTTCATTTTAGCAATGTTTTTCAGATTTATAAATGCTCTAAACCCTTTGCCTCTGAAATTCTGCTTGTCAGAATTTATTCCACATATTTATTTGCACATATGCAAAATGATGTTTGTACAAGGCTATTCATATCAGCATTATAATAGCAAGATCGGAACCAACCTAAAAAAAAAAAATCCATCAACAGGTTACTCTGCAGCTAAGAAAAAGAATGAAGATGCTTAATGTTTCATCTATAAAATGCTTTCTAAGTAAAAAAATAATACATACATGTAGCCCTGGCTGGTTTGGCTCAGCGGTTGGAGCGTCGGCCTGCGGTCCGGAGAGACCCGGGTTTGGTTCCCGCTAAGGGCACGTACCTCGGTTGCAGTTTGTCCCCGGCCCTGGTTGGTCGTGCGGGTGGCAGCCACTCGATGTGTCCCTTTCACATCGATGCTTCTCTCTCTCTCTCCCTCCCACTCTATCTGTACAAAAAATGGAAAAATGTCCTCGGGTGAGGATAAAAAAAAAAAAAAAAAAGGAAAAATGTTCTTGGGTGAGGGTTAAAAAAAACCCAAAAACATGTTATTTGCTTGTTTGTTCATAAAACATCTGGAAGGGTATACTAGAAACTAACTAGTGTGATAATTTTGAGAGAGCTATGTATCAGAGTGACAGAGTTGAAGGCTTTTTGCCATTTCCTCTTTTGAATTTGATCATGTGGCCATTAACTAGTGAACAGCATCTTTGCATTAATATAGTGGGTATTCTAGGGGAGAATCATAATCTAAATGTGAAGTAACACCAGAATCCTTGAGAGATATCTAATTATATATAGCTTCATTATTCTTCTGTAATTAAAAACAGTTCAAGTTTGATCAATTGTCATGTAATAGAAACAATAAATCAATATTATAACAGATGTAAAGTTTATTCTAAGTGAAAGTTCCGAGTGCCTAAATTGGTAATAAGGGAAAACAATAGCTGGAAAGAAAGGGAAGGGAGAGAAATTAATAGGTGTGTTAAACCACCACCACCCTTCTTGGGGCAAATGGACTATAAACAGGTTCCTCTTTTAGGTATTATTTTAAGCCTGTTTGTTCACTTAATATTTAATTAATCTCTTAGATGCTGATTTCAAGAGAAAAAGACAAATTAATAAAAGCTACCTCTGAAGTCAAGTTTAAAACATTAACAATTCTTTAATTTTATTTAGCCCTTTTCAACTTTCATTTTCACATACATTATTCCTTTGCTCCTCATAACCATGTGAATTTGAGCAGATTTTATTCTGATTTTATGTATGAGGGAAAAAAACAAAACAAGATGTCCAGCGAGGCTGATTTGTCTTACGTCACATGGTTTGTATGAGGTGCTCTTCAATACTGGAGTTTACCTACTTTCCACTTGCCCTGCACCCCCTTACCTTCAGCCCCTGCCTTCTCTCTCAGTCACATTAATTTTATTTTTCTGTTGTTTATATGCCTTCTAAGGGAAATTATAATTTTAATAATGGTGCAATATTCATTGTGCCTATCTGCTTAAAATTTTTTTCTTCAGTATTTTATTTTATTCTTAGGAGAGAAGTACTTAAAATTTTTTACTGTACAAAAATTGCACTGAAACACCAATATGCTTTAATTTTCCCACCACTCAAAAAATTTTAATATGTATTGAAGATTCTGGACCAGATGTGTAAAGAGAAGACAAGGAATATTCAAATAACTTATAACAAATTTCTAAATCTCTCATATTAAAATTAGTAAGACAAAAAATATAATTTACAGTACACATTTGCCATTATGTTATAGATAAGAAAATAGTACCCATACTAAAATTAATTCATCCTACTTATCAAAATTTCTAGTATAAGAATGAAAATATTCAGATTCTTATAGACAGGTATTTAAAAGCTTCTTTTGGACAACATTCTTTGGTGTTTATAAAACTGCATATATTATTTATATCATACAGTCTTTTCAGACTATTCAATTTATATTGGAAATTAAAAAATATAAATTAGATATATTTATAGAAAATAGTTACAGGGTATTTTGATTTCATGGTGCTCACGTATTTATAGACAAGATTTACTTATTGAACTTTAAAATAACTACCTATGCTTTGATATTTCTTACATATCTACATGTACCAAAAATTAAAAAAAAACAAACCATTTATAGGCAGAAAATTCAACTCTGAGTTGACAGTTATTCATGACTCTCTCCATTGGCTATCCACAACATATGGAGCTAAATGAAAAGATGAAAAGCCCAGCATTGCTTGGATACCAGCTTGATAAGCAATAGGAATGCCAGATACACAAGAAGAAATGGAATATTCTACTTTAGAGGCAGAAGACAAGTGAATGAACAACATGGACACAACTTAGTTTAAGTTCTTTACCCTAATAAAGTAATATTCATTTGCAAATATTACCAAAAGTAAAAAAATTTATTTTACAGAGTGGTTGGTTTTTGTAATACATCAAAAACTGCAGTTATACTTCCCTATTCTCACTTCTTGTCTCATATCAGTGGTTGAAGTTTCTCCCAAATAATTTACTTTACATTTAAAATGGCAATACAGATTTTACTTAATGGATTTAAGTTATAATTAGAAACTAGTTTTATATACAGAAAATCCATAAATATAGAATTTTTATTCTTTTATCCTAGGGCTATGCAAAAAAATTGACTAAAATTTTTCATTTGGGTCTTTGTAATAAACATGTAAATACATTATTTACAATGGAGATGCTTTCTGACAGAAAGTACACACAGGTAATTTTGGTCTTCACTTGATTCCATCACTATATGTTCATTTTCAAAGATGATGTGATACATCATGTTCACTCAAATTTTAAGATTCTTGTTATACACATAATTCAAATAATGATTTCACTTGAACAATGAATGCTTCATTCTATATTTAAATTTCTTTTAAGAAAGATTCCTGATCCAATAGTAGGGAACTTTAAACTTTTTTTCAAAGATGGCAAAATGCTTCTGTACAATTGTGTGCAATTTTCTTCCTTCTGGCAATACTCTAAATACTTAGTCATTTAATCTTCATTGTTCACATCCCAGGGGTAATTCCTGGTTATCTCACATGATGTAAGTACCATCTCTGTAGTATTTCATGGACTCCATTTGTTTTGTCATAGCTAGGACATCATGAAATCCAGTACTTAGGCCAGACATATGTTGAAAGTATGCCTCTTTTTCCACTTGAATTGTTAAATTGTTTACTCCAGCATCTTTGAGTATTCCTGTAACCTGTTATAAAAAATCCATACATTTTAGAGCATTTAATGCACACCTTAAATAATTGATATCCTATCTTTTATAGCGACAGATAGTCAAAGATAAATCCTCAAAATAATGTGTATTATTTATTTGGCCAAATGTTAGGATTTTATTTGTTTTGTTAAACTATAGAATCATTCATGAATTTGCGTAACAGTCTGGCACAGGGGCCATGCTAATCTCTGTATCATTCCAATTTTAGTATTTATGCTGCTGAAGTGAGCACAAGATAGGATTTTGGACAACCAGTAAATTCTGATCTCACTTTCAAAGCAGTAAAGGAAAACAGTATGTCTAGAATAGGGATATAGGAACTGTTTTGATCCCTATCTCCAACGATAGCATATACCCTGCCAACGTTAATATTATTATTGTTAATTTAGGGCTACATTTATAATAACTTATTTTTTTTATAATCTAGCATTAATCAAGGTGAATCATAAATAACTTTTATCTTACATTAACTTAAGCTGATCCTCTCAGTACTAAAACTTGATTTTATTTTAACCAGTTTTGGATATAAAGAAAACTTAATTGTAAAAAAATGTTATGTTATTCTTAGTTGAAAGAATGATATTTTCAAACAGTTAAATTACTTTTGAATTGTATGTTATAATGTATGCAATTTTATGCATGAATTACTTCAATTGAAAGTACTTTAAAAACAAAAGATTACCTGCTGCACTATTCTTTGTTCCAGCACATCAGATGTCACCTGTATATGAATTGTTCCTGCCACAATACTGGCAGAATGACGCCAAAAATGAGGGTCTCGGTATGATATTAATCCTTCAATTTTCTGTATCTGTCAAATAAAAGCTGAGATGATATAAATGGACTTAAAGGTTATAATTTACTTAACACAAAGCAATCTTTTTGGTCCAGGAACAACTATTAAATTAATTATTAAAAAAAAGAAAAGATAATGACAACTCCGAGTAAGAAAGGAATAGGAAAGAGCCAACTACATAGCTTGAAGTAAAGGTGCAAAAATATTTTGACCTACAAGTGAGTGATGTCATGGAAGGTAGCTCTGAATAGGAAGTGAATGGGGTGCAGATGTCTTTATACCCAACAGTTACACACCAATTTTCACTTATGTAAGATGTACCTCTGTCTATTCTAAACATTGGATAAATTCAATAAACTACATGGTTTCCTTTAAACTGATACACATTTGTATATTGTTTGTCATTAAACATTCAAAAGATATCTTCCATGTTCAACAATTAAGGGGTGGTTAAATACATTATAGACTATCCATATGTAGCATTATATTGTCATTAAAAATGTATTAGAACATTTATCAACATGACATAATTAAATGAGGGAAAATTTAAAAAGCAGGACAGAACAGTTATTTTTTTTTTGCCACTTTTATTTTAAAAATATTTCTATATAGAAAAACTTTTTAAAAAAATGTTTTCTTTGACTTTTTTTTTTATCCTCACCTGAGGACATTTTTCCATTTTTTGTTCAGATAGAGTGGGAGGGAAAGAGAGGAAGAGAGAGAGAGAGAGAGAGAGAGGGAGAGAGAAACATCGACGTGAAAGGGACACATCAAGTGGCTGCCACCTGCACAACCAACCAGGGCCAGGGACAAACTGCAACCGAGGTACATGCCCTTAGCGGGAATCAAACCCGGGTCTCTCCGGACCGCAGGCCAATGCTCTAACCGCTGAGCCAAACCGGCCAGGGCAAAAAAATGTTTTCTTTATTGATGTTAGAGAGAGAAAGGAAGGGAGAGGGAGAGATAAAAACATCAATGAGAGAGAACATCGATTGGCTGCCTCCTGCATGCCCCCCACTGGGGATCATGCCCACAAACTGGGCATGTGGCCTAACTGGGAATCGAACCAGCGACCTCTTGGTGCATGGGTCCGACACTCAACCACTGAGCCACACTGGCTGGGTTAGAAAAACAACTTTTAAAAGTGTTTTTTTGCCTGGCCAGTATGGCTCAGTGGATTGAGCATCATCCCATGGACTGAGAGGTCCCAGTCCGATACCTAGTTAGGGCACATGACCAGGTCGTGGACTGGATCTCCAGTAGGGGACGTGCAGGAGAAAGCTGATCGATGTTCCTCTCTCTCTCCCTTAAAAAAATCAATAAAAACATATTTTAAAAAATCAGTAATAAAAATATCTTAGCAAAGTAAAAATAGAAAGGACTTTTTAAAAAAGTTTCTTTCCAGGTGGTGGAATTATATTTGATTTCCCCCCTCTTTTTTTGTACTTTTCTGCATCTTTTTTTTTATCCTCACCCGAGGATATTTTCCCATTTTTTGTACAGAGAGAGAGAGAGAAACATCGACGTGAAGGGACACATCGAGTGGCTGCCACCCGCACGACCAACCAGGGCCGGGGACAAACTGCAACCGAAGTACGTGCCCTTAGCGGGAACCAAACCCGGGTCTCTCCAGACCCCAGGCCGACGCTCTAACTGCTGAGCCAAACTGGCCAGGGCAACTTTTCTGCATTTTGATATCTTCTGTAACAGATGTATTTTGACATGAAAAACATTTTTTAGTAGGATGAAGTATTCACTAATTATAAGAAGATGAGAAAACTAGACTAATTTTATTTATGAAAATGGTGGGCTAAGATGCTATACCTTAAATATTCAAGATGCTAACTTTTCATCAGGAGATACTAATTACTTTAATATGATACGGCAATCCACAAGCTGAAAGACAATCTATTTTTTGAATTCATAGAAAAAACTATGAACTGCCTGTTTATATTCTTTTTTTTTTTTAATTTTAATTTTTTTTTCCATTTTTTGTTCAGATAGAACGGGAGGGAGAGAGAGAAAGAGGAACATCGATGTGAAAGGGACACATTGAGTGGTTGCCACCCACACGACCCAACCAGGGCTAGGGACAAACTGCAACCAAGGTACATGCCCTTAGCGGGAACCGAACCCGGGTCTCTCTGGACCGTAGGCCGACGCTCTAACCGCTGAGCCAGACTGGCCAGGGCCTGTTTATATTCTTAAAGACTGTCTTTTTCTTGATTTAAAGAATTATAAATAGTAAGCCTTTGCCTGTTAATATGTACTACAAATATTTTCTCGTGATCTGACTTTTGTATTCCATATTTGTTATGGAATCTTTTGTCAATGAACAATTTCCAATGGGTCCAATCTGTAAAATTTCTTCCTCCCTTTCTGGCTTTTGGTTTTACTTCTATCATATTAAGAAAGCCTTCCTGCCCTGGTCGGTTTGGGTCAGCGGTTAGAGTGTCAGCCTGCAGTCCAGAGAGACCTGGGTTCGGTTCCCGCTGAGGGCATGTACCTTGATTGCAGTTTGTCCCAGGCCCTGGTTGGGTCGTGTGGGTAGCAACCACTTGATGTGTCCCTTTCACATTGATGTTTCTCTCTCTCTCTCTCTCTCTCTCTCTTCCTCTCTCCCGCCCTCCACTCTATCTGAACAAAAAACAAAAAAATGTCCTCGGGTAAGGATTAATAAAAAAGAAAGCCTTCCCTACTTCTGGGCTATATTCTTCTATTTTATTTCAGCAGTTTTATAATTCTGTCATACTATTTAGTCCATTGGAAATATATTTTTATATGGTGTGGTACAGATATATATATATATGGCTTTTCTTTTCCACCAAGTGGAAATGTTAATTAGGTCAACCATTTCTTTCCCACTGATCTGAAATGTCATCTTCAGTATATACTGTAGTTCATTAGTTTGTGGGTCTGTTTCTGATTTAAAAAGAAAAAACACCATATGTTTTTACTGATTTTTTTAGAGAGAGAGATAGGAACATTGACGTGAGAGAGAAACATTGATCAGCTGCCTCCTGCATACCCCACACTAGGGATTGGGCCTGCAACTTGGGCATGTATCCTGACTGGGACCGCTCAGTCCATGGGATGATGCTCAATTCACTAAGCCACACCAGCTGTGCTGTTTTGATTTCGAAAATCCGAATCAACTTATATGTTTATTCTTGTGAAAGAACAAAACTATTAGTTCTGTTGGTCAATTCTGTAACTTTATGACTACAGGATAAGATCATTTTAATTAGTTAGTTAATTCTGTAAATTTTTGTATTTTTTGTTTATTCTCAAGCATTAGCTCTACCAAATAAGCTTCTAAGTAACAATGGATTATCTTCTGTCCTCCCCCAAAACAAAAACAAACAAAATAACCTAAATGAGAGGCAACTACATTGGGATTTAAATGAAATAAAATCAGCAATTTTACAATAAGTTTCCCATCCAAGAAAATATGTCTCTCCATTTATTCAGTCCCTATTTTATGTCCTTTAAATAAAACTGCACTTTGTTTATTCATATCTTGCAGATTTCTTATTAGGTCAACTTAATTTCAAATACTATTTTAAAAGGAAAAAAAGATATTGAAGAAATTACACACTACCTTTTCTAAAGCAAGATGTAATTCTTTTTCATATTCTGGTGGCAGTCTCAGAAGTAGAACCTGACAGGCATCTTTAATCAGTGGAATAACACTGAGAAATATTAATATAGCAATAAAAAGAGAACAGAGGGGATCAGCAATGAACCATCCAAACTGCTCTATAAGAATTGTGGATACAATCACACCAATACTGCCAAGTGTGTCTGCCAAAACGTGTAGAAATACACCTATAAGTAAAATATATAAAAACATTAAAATCAAATCACATCTGATTTAGTTCTTTTATCCATTCTATAAATATTACTAGGTACCTACTATGCATCTTTCACTCTGCTGGTAGCCCCTAGCAGAGTGAAAGGTGCCCCTAGCAGACTAAAATATGGTCACTACCCTCAAGGAATTCACAACCTGCTTGTTAAAAGGTAAGGACGTAGGCCACTACACCATAGTGTGGGGAGTTTGATGATGATATGGTTTATCTGGGAAGGTTTCCTATAAATCATACATGAGCCAAGTCTTAACATTGCCCAAATAACTTATATTAAACATTCAGAATAAATTATTCAGTACTTCCCCCATTTTTTTTTTTACTGTACAATAAAAATCTGGTTCTTCTGCAGTGCAAGTTCATAGTGGCATACTCAGTGTTTCCTTTGTAAATATTTATGCAACTCTCACTATAAAAAGGACTCTACAATTACAATAATTGACATTTATGAATAAACATGAGCATTTTCTATAGCAGATGATTTAAAACCTTTTTTTAGCCATAGATTGTTTTTCTAAAATAAAATTGTACCAGAAGCCCAATATTTTATACAAATAAACAATCTCA